GCAGAGCCTCAGGTGGAGGCTTAACTTCCTAAGCCACAGCACCAGCATTCGAATCATAGGTATTTTCAAAAATCACTTAAATGATTTTGAAAACAGATTGGCATTAATCCAATAATATGATATGATGATCATACATGCACATGCATATTTGATATTTGATGCTCAGAGGAAAAACATTAAAAGAAATAGACATATTAATATGAGTAAACCTAAGCCTGGTTTTGCACAGGTGAAAATAATGCAGGACAGTGCTTGCATTTAAGGCAAAAATAGAGAAGAAAGCAAAAACCTGGAAACAAGAATTATCTATAAGTTGACTTTAAATTTATTGTTATTCTGAAATATCTAGGCCAGGAATGTTTATATGCATATAAACAATCATTTTCTGATACATGCACAAAATCTATTTAATGGAAAAGTCTTTCCACAAAACAAAACAATATTGCAATAAACGCACAAATGATAGAAAAATAAACCCAACTCCTATCTGTTACCACACAATTGATTGAAGACAGATTACAGACCTTAACATAAAATGTAAACTACAAAACAAGTAGTATATGCTTACCACAAGTGAAATATTTACAGACATGTTAAGATTATAAAATAGGAGAAAACTTATTTAGAGTTATTCATGAAATACAATAAGTAATTGCTTTTTTTGTGGAACTATTTTAGGTTCAGTAAGTGCCATGATGGACAGCCATGGAGTATTCAAGATGTGCAGTGCAGGAAATAAACAAAAAAGTTAGGTACACAACTTTTGAAAATAATAACATTTAAAAAGTAATAGGTAATGAACTCCATGATATGTACAAACTTTCATCCCTCATTTTATTATCATTTCTTTAGAAAGAATAAAGAAAAGTAGAAACTAACATAACTTAATTAAAATAAATATCACCTATTAAGTGCCTTTAATATAAGACAAATTTAATAGCCTAATCTATAAATAAATAAATAAATAAAGTGCTACAAGCTGTTGGGACTTCATGTCAGTCAGGGGTTGGGTTATCTCAAGAATTAAAACATATTTTTCCTATGTTTTGTTTTCTCATGCCCCTTTATGGAATTTTATGTCCAATATCATTAGAAAAAATGAAGTGCAGAATTTTGACTATTTTTATTAAGTAAGGTAACTGCACACAATTCAAACAGAAAGGTTTAAAAAGGGAATGAAAAGATCATATTATAATCAGCCCACAATTTACTTTACTGTTAAGTTTTAAATGATTTATTTTATCTATTTAAAGACAGATTTAGAGTGAGAAAGAGAAATTGTCCATATACTGGTTCACTCCCAAATGACCACAATGGCTACAACTGGGTAAGGCTGAAGCCAAGTGCCTGGAGCTCCACCCTGGTCTCCCATGTGGGTAAGGGTCCCAATTTTTGGGACATTCTCCATTGGAAATGGAGCAGCAGAGATTTGAATTTGTGCTCATATGGGATGCCAGTACAGCAAGTGTTAGCTTAACTCACTGTTGAAAATGCTGGCCCCTACTGTTGATATTTTACGAAGTATTTTGCAAGTCTTTATCTATGCACAGAAATGTATCCATATGCAATCATAATGTATGACTATATATGCTTATACTATTTATAAAATTCTGAAAATTATGTTATTTTTTTCTTTTCTTTTTTTTTAATTTTATTTAATGAATATAAATTTCCAAAGTACAGCTTATGGACTACAATGGCTTCCCCCCACCATAACTTCGCTCCCACCCGCAACCCTCCCCTTTCTCTCTCCCTCCCCCCTTCCATTCACATCAAGATTCATTTTCAATTCTCTTTACATACAGAAGATCAGTTTAGCATATATTAAGTAAAGATTTCAACAGTTTAAAATTCTGCAAATTATGATCAATCATGATTAAATTACAGATAAATGAATGGTTATTAATCAATTAACTACTTATGATTGCATAGTATCTATTCTAGGGAAATATAACTTTTTTTAAAGAATTCTTTCATGATCTACATAAAATTATCTTTTAAAATTGTTTTATTGCCATTACAAATAACGTCAGAATGTACAAAACTTTATAGACTTGTACTTTAAAGTCTGGGGATAATCAAGAAATAGTTTTGTGAGGTGTAACAGAAATAATTTAAGACATGGGCAATTGACCTCAATTGCTGAAGCTTCTTTTGGATAATTGTATATACGTGAGTGTGGTGGGGGGGATAGGGTCATGAGAATCTACAGTAAGTGAATTTCTCCTTTTATTATAATTTTCTCTGTTTTTCTTGAACTGGTGAGATGTGTTGAAAATGGACATCAGGAAACTTTCAGTTTCTGGTTTCACAGGTAAGGAGGTTGGAAGTAACCACTCTGTCTTAACAAGAAGTACAAAGCTAAAAAGACTGAAACCCAGTGATTCTTGCAGGATATGTGGGAGAGATGAGGATATCAGGTGAACCTCAACACTCAAGACTTGTGAATTCCGCAGTCAAGCTTATCAGAACAGCGCTTCCATAGTGGATAATGACAGCCGGAAGCAGTGTCGAGGTAGAAAGATCTGAAATGTAATATGAAAACTGTTGTAGACTTAGAGTGCACAAATGTCAGTGTTGAAAACTAACAGGTGCAGCCATCAGCAGGAGAGGGGGAGAATGCACTTCTAGGATATTTATCTCCAAGATCTCAAGAGGTAAATATCAGAGAAAAATCTCTTCTTTATCTTCTGGTAGGGGGAGGAAAAAGAGCTACTTTAAAATACTCCAGAGTATTCTTGTCTTCCTAAGAAAACTTCCTTCAGGAAGGAAAGAGTGAATAAGTGACCAAATGCCTGGAGCATTATCAGAGCCTAACTGACCTGCAAATACGCAAGTGCCAGCTCCAGTCAGTTCCTGTCGTCCATGTTGAAGAAAAAATACCCAAGTCCAGCATGCTCTGGCTTTTGAATGCCATCTGAGAGGGAGAATAAAAGACTGAGGGACACTCCTGGAGCTCACAGACCACATCACACAGTGAAGAGAGAACTCAGGAGGCTTGCATAGCCTTGGCAGCTCGTGACAAGAGCCTTGGGTGATCACTGACATCATAAATAAGAGTTTCAATTGTTAAATCAACAACAGGAGTCACTGTGCACTTACTCCCCATGTAGGATCTCTGTCTTTAATGCATTGTACTATGTGAATTAATGGTATAACTAGTACTCAAACAGTACTTTATACTTTGTATGTCTGTGTGGGTGCAAACTGTTGAAATCTTTACTTCGTGTATACTAAGTTGATCTGTATGTAAAGATAATTAAAAATGAATCTTAATGAAGAATGGGATGGGAGAGGGAGTAGGAGTTGGGATGGCTTGTGGGTGGGAGGGTGTTTATGGGGGAAAAATTCTCTATAAACCAAAAGTTGTGCTTTCAAAATTTATATTTATTAAATAAACATTTTCTAAAACAAAAAAGATATTAAAATCCTCAAAGAAAATCCTTGAGATTTTTGACAGCTTATGGTAAAACAATTAACCAAAAAAAGGTGAAGTTGAGCTGTAAGAAATTTTTTTTTATTTGACAGATAGAGTTAGACAGTGAGAGAGAGAGACAGAGAGAAAGGTCTTCCTTCCATTGGTTCATCCCCCAAATGGCCGCTATGGCCAGAGCTACGCCAATCCAAAGCCAGGAACCAGGTCCTTCTTCCTGGTCTCCCATGTGGGTGCAGGGGCCCAAGCACCTGGGCCATCCTTCACTGCCTTCCCGGGCCATGGCAGAGAGATGGACTGGAAGAAGAGCAACCAGGACTAGAATCTGGCACCCATATGGGATGCAGGACCCACAGGAGGAGGATTAACCAAGTGTGCCACAGCGTTGGCTCTTGTAATAAAATTTTATTTTTTTTCTTTAATTTGCAAGGAAAGAAACAATGAGGCAAATCACAGGATGAGAGAAAATATATGGCCACAAAGGATTTTTATTCAAATATATAAGCCAGACTTAAAACTCAATAGACAGTGGCCAAATAGGAAACAGGTAAAAGATCTGGACACACACCTTGCAAAAGTACATTTCAGAAAAGTTAAACAGATTTAGGCAATTACAATGCTTTACAATGCTAGTTGGATGTAAAGTTTCTACTTTCTAAAGAAATTAAGCATAAGTATTATTTGACCCATCCATTTCATCTGCATATTTATCCAAGAAGTATGAAAATATATGTCCACCTAAATGGTCATGCATGAAGGGACAATGCCTTAATTTACTATAGCCTGCCCTTATCAATCCATGAATGTATCAGTACATTTTGATATACAACAAAAATATATTTAGCAACAAAATGAAACAAAGTACTCATACACAGGCAAATATTAAAATAAATGTGCTGAGTGAAATAAACCAGGCACAAAATGAATATATTCTATAAGACTGTATTTATATAAAATGAAAATAAATATATACTAATAAAGTCAAATCAACAATACTGAGCCAGGATGAAAGGAAGGGAGATTACAAAAGGAAAATAGAGTATTTGCAGGGTGGTGGAAATATTTTGCATTGCAAGTTTGGTGTTGGCGCATGAAGATATATGATGTCAAAACTTATTGACTTACACATAGTTTATTGATATTTAATAAAGTTGATAAGAAATGAAGTCAGTACAAATATTAACTGAAGTAAACATGACCAAAGAAACTAAAGAAAAACCTTTAGGGATATGATGATTGAAATGACAACAACAGCCTCCGTTCCAAGAAGAGCCTGTACTGTTTACTCAGAGAAGGGCTGTTGGTCTTGCTGGAGGGAGATGCGTGAGAGTGGACTGAACTGATGCTCACGTATGCTGCGATCCTCAGTGTCCTCTACTTTTCCCAGTGTGACTCCTTCTGCCCTTCCCACAGAGGCCATCCAATAACTCATCATCCCCCTTCAGAAAATTCTTTCCTGTCACAGTTGAACTTTCATCACATAGAAAAATAAGGCCATTTGGGATACACTTGGCCTTGAAATGCCTAAAATGGCAAACAAGGGCCTTCTTAATCTGGTCTGACTTACTTCTCCAGAATTATTTCTCAGAACATCACACTCCAGCCTCCTCTTGCTGCTCTCTCTGCACAACATCTCCATTCTTTGTTTACATTTTTCTTGTCATCCTCATATTATCTCCCTGTAAATGTATGCACATGTTGCAAGGTTCAGTCCAGAACTGCTCTATGTAACCATACTGATATCTAAGCCAGAATTAATCACTCACTACAATGTGATTCCATTGCAGTACATACATTTTTTATAACTGACTATGCATGTCTATTTTGTTTGTTTCCAATGCTTCAAGAGAGCATCAGATGGATTATTTCTTGCTTATCTTATGATTTTAATAATGTCATGATCTTATACACTTAATATATATTAAAGTAAATTAATAACTTTAATATTTTAAAGTCTAACTTCATGTTTATTCTGTAATTTAATTCCTCACACAAACATTTGAACACTTCTCAGTCAACTTAGAAGCCAGAGTCCCAAATCCAAGCCATTTTCTAGGAGACCTAGGTATAGAATGGCATGAGATTCGTCTAAAGCCCCATAGTAGGTGTCAGAGAGTGTATAAAAAGCAATGAGGAACAGACATGCCCTTGTGAGCCAGACAGATCATCAATAGCTGAGTCAATCAGTAGAAACTAAGACCAGGTATAGAAGAGCTGTTAACGCAAGGACACCAGAACAGCAATAGTAAATTCTTACCTGCAGCTTGGAGTCAAACTTACTTGTTCCCCCAATTTGAAGAATTATGCCCAATGTTCCTTTGACAAGCAAAGTGGCTTCTATAGTGGGCATGGAAAAAGCTGTTATGTGTTCCCTAAAATCTTGAGTAGAAATCCTATGAGACAATTGTTACATAGGAAGATATTAAAAATTAAATCATCTAAGTTTTGATAAATAATGTAACTGAAACTTAAAGTAAGACTTATAATAGCAATTCAATAATGTTCCCTCTGCTAATTTACAACGTTTTGATTTGCTAACTGAGCCTTGTCCATGAAGAAGTACGCAAAAATAGATGAAGATTCAGGAGAGCATTTGTCTATGTAACTAAATGATATGAATATTTCAAATATGGTGGAAGAAATCTCTATACAGCAGACTAAGAACACATCATTAGACTGCAATTGCAGCAGGGTAATGAACAATGGGAAATGCATTTCTGATGTTCGGGTGAAAGTATGGTACCTACCTAGGTGCAAGTATTCACAACTCAAGCCAACAAATGTATGCCCACTCCTATTTGGTCTTGACTGAAGGGATCTTAAAGACACGTGGCTTGTTCCTTGAGGTTCCATTAATTTCCTTACACTTGGACATCTTGGACGATATTCTTTTTACCTCTTGGTTCCTGGAATTTCCCTTTGTTTCTTGATTCCATTTTTCCTACTCCAAAGACTCTTCCTTCTCAGGAACCATTTACTAGTGAAGTGATAAGTAGCTTCTGGGGTGCATTATGTGATTAAAGTATATTTATTCATGTGGTCCTGTCTGCAGAAATTGGTCTTTCTCAAGGCAAATCAACTTTGCTTATGAAAATTGTGAACGATTTTACATAATCCGTTTTTCCTCCATTGCTGATACATTATCTACTCTAAGATGATATGGTAAATTATCAGGATTCTCTTCTGATTATTCATGGGTTCTTAAATCTTGTTATATCCATGATACCAAGCGTCCAACACTCAGGATGTAAAAGGCTCATGGTATGTATTCAAACAGTAGCATGTTCTTTGCTTTGGGTGATTCTTTTCTGCTGAAAGTCACGGGACACACCAATGTTACTGATATGTTAATTTCTTTTAGGTTTCATAAAGCAAATGTACTCATTACATGTCTCACAGAGAACTTCACTATCTTGGAAGAAAACACTAGGTAAAACCCAGTGAAGGGTCTTGTAATAGTGCCTTGGCATTTCCAATAACTATCTCCTGGTGTTATTTTTGCCATTACATTTGCCCAAATACTTTCTAACTAAAAGTACTTTTATAAGATTTGACCATGTAAAATTCTAATATATTACTTGTTTTCACTCACAAAAGCATACCTATGTCAGCAAAATACTACTCTCTCTCCCTCTTTTTTTTTTTTTTAAAGATTGATTGATTGATTGATTTGAAAGTCAGAGTTACACATAGAAGGAGAGGCAGATAGAAAGAGTGGTCTTCCATTCACTGGTTCACTCCCCAATTGGCCACAATGGCCAGAGCTGAGCAGATCTGAAGCTAGAAGCCAGGAGCTTCTTCTGGGTCTCCCACATGGGTGCAGGGGCCCAAGGACTTGGGCCATTTTCTACTGCTTTCCTAGGCCAAAGTGGAGAGCTGGATCAGAAGTGGAGCAGCCGGGACTTGAACTGGTGCCCAAATGGGATTCTGGCACTGCAGGCAGTGGCTTTACTGGCTACACCATAGTGCCAACCCCCAAAAATACTACTCTTAATGTTAACGGATTCCTTCTATCTTCTCTCAGTTTCACCATTTCTTCCTCTTTACTCCTAATTTCTTCTGACTTCTAGTACCTCAAAACTCCTGATTGTTCATTTCTCTGTGTCTTGAGACACAAAACCATTTGTTTCTTTCTGCTCATTAGTGATGTTTCTTGGAATCAGTAATTGGCCTCCAGTCACCAGTGAGAGAAAAACCCACACTTGTTTTGCTTAGAGTTACCATACAGGGCCATTCCATATTCCTTATTCAGCCTGTAGTTGATCTTTTTGGGCCCAGCACCATAAGTATATACATAGTACAAAATTTTCTTACCTATGCCACCTAAGTAGCTATGAAGGAGAGCACTGAAAGTAGTAGGTATTAAAGAAAATCAGTAAATTTTCCATTTTTTCAGTCGGTTTTATAGTTGGAGAAAAATATATACTTATTCCTCCAACACTCAAACCACATTTCTCCAGAGATAATCATGTTACTTAGATTTTTTTTTTCTTTTCACTCTCTATGAATCAGTAAGGCCCATATTCAGATGACCTTATAAAAATGCACATAAAATAAAGATCTTCTGCAACACAGTAGGCCATAGAGTCAATTATGGTTAATCTCTGACCTCACAGGGTAATGTGTTTTGAAGATGAATTATATATTTCTCTTTAATTTTCTTCTTCCAAACATGGGGTTTCTATGTGTTTAAAATTTCGTCACAAGCAGGCCTCATATTTCAGTTCAATTATATAAATTTAAATAAAATTTGAGAGTTTTTACCATAAAAAGTTTTGAATGCCCCTCAGCTTTATTTTTATTTTTATTTTTTTAAATACAAGCAACAGGTCAAGCTGTCTCCAACTGAACCATGTCTAAGTAATTCTGGCTCTTTCTCTCTTTGTTACTGCTTGGCAAGCTTAAGGCTCCAAGGTCAGGTCAAGGCCTTGTCTTTCCAAAGTATGATGGAGCGCGAGGTCCAGCCTCTCCTTTACTCCCTTCCAGACTGTTAAGAGTTTCTTTTCTTCAGTGTAGCCAGATGGACTTTTTTATATCCTGTGCACAGGACTAAGTTTGGATTCGATTTTTCAAGATGAATCCAAGTTTAACCTCTCAGTGTTAAGGAATCTTTCCACTGCAACTTTTTCCCAACCACTTTTGTACATTGAAAATGTCTCCATAATTGTTTTTTAAAACATGATTGCCTCATCCAAACCTCCTCCTGTGCTATCTATGTCTGCTGAAAATTAATATATAACACCCAGAGACAGAATTATACATGGATTACAGCTTAGTTAAAATTAAAGCAAAGTGAATTTGAAGAATATATGTTATGTGGGAAACACATCGGCAATTATGGAAAGCAAAAGAAAATGAAACAACATTCTTAGTGCTTTCGATTTTCCTAAGTGAGGAGAAAATACGTCTCATCCTGGTTCTACCTGCAATCTACTAGCTAGAGTATTTGTGTGACATGCCTGGGATTGCCTTATAGAATTGATAAGCAGAAAGTGGTGCTGTTCAAATAATACTCTCAGTAGATCCTGCTTTGTTTTACGGTTTTACACTTAAAGGTGGAATTGGGATTCTGTAAATGAGCTTAAGTGAATACTGAGGATATTAACATAAACAGAGAAGGGCCACTGTATGTGAAATAGAGGTTTCCCAGTTCATTGTGTAATGGTTTCTCTGTGGGACTTTATCAACACAGGCCTGGGATGGAACCTCATGGGCTACCTATACTTAGGCTGCAATGGAGTAAAAATTCACTTCTTTGCCCAAACAGCCACATTTGAGCAAATGGCTTTTTACAACCAAGACAGAAACAGCATGTTTTCTCAGCCCCCTGACTATGTCAATTATATTCTGAGCACCCTTCTCTCACTTTAAAAATGTGAGCTGAGGAAGGCATCAGCATTGGTCATTTTGGTAATTTGTCATGCTGATATGTAAACTCAATATGTTAATTGTTCCAAAGAGATTTGGATTTTAAACTTTATTTCTTTTGATGGATTGAAAGAGTTTTAAAATAAATAATTTAATAAATTAGAAACTAAGTAGTAGAAGTTTCAGAGGGAAGGGGCTTTCCTGCCAAAATACTAAGGCTCTCCAGAATGACAGAACCCCTTAATTTTTGGATTGACACACATTCATTAAAAATAAATTACTGTTCCCATCTGGTCTGACTCATTTGATGGGAACAAGAAGTTCCTTTGGAAGTACAAATAGATAGGGGGAAGGGAGCGCAAAGAGAAGGGAGGCATGGGACTGGCCTTGTGCAATGTTTTAGGTCTCAAAACCACACATATAATTTTATGTAGGAGGAAACTACAAAAAAGTTCATGAAGAATGCATGTTGTAAAAATGTGTGGATTTCAACATTTTTCACACCAAAACAAATCTGTCGTTTAATTCCATTTTCCACAAAAATTTTAAAACACCCATATAATTAAAATATTGCAAGTAGAAAAACTTTGAAACAGTCATATAATTAAAATATTCGAAGTAGAAAGTCAGTAGGCTCATCTATGTGTCAAAATATTTATTGCCTGGGTTACCACACAAACCAATTTAATTTTCCTCAATCAATCTCAAAAATAGCTTCTGTTCCAGTATTAAGTGGTGAATTATTAAAGAAATAAAAGTATTCTATTACTTTTCTATGTCCATTCTCAGTTACCTTTGCCAAAGCAGTGGTCAGATTCATGAAAACTTAATTAAAGTGTAAATTATGGTAGTAGGCACATTTGAAATAAGTAGCCTTGAATGTCTTCCTTTTTCTAAGCCCTCTTTATAGATTGCATGTTATAATATGTAACCAAAGAAGAAGGTCATGGCCATGGAGAAAAGAAAAAAAAGTGTGTGTATATAGGTTCACATGTGTATAGAAGTATAATCTTTTAAATATCATAGCAGATTAAAATATTATACATCAAGTTTTAGTTAAAATTCTTTGTGCAAGGAAAATTTAATATCAGTTTTTATGGTCAGGAAAGCACAATACTCATTCGCTTCTCAGTTTCTTAAATTAGCTTCTATTCCCTCCTTACTCTCTAGCCTTTATAGACCGATAAAATATACTTGTCTTGGCAGAATTTACATAGATTATTTTCTCTATTTTTTAAGTGTGTAATGCAGGAATTTATTTTTTAAACATATGTATATATAATGAATTGAATTAACACATAAATACATTGCATTTAACTTTATACATGATTTTTCTGATAAGCAGTCTTAAACTGGGGTACTAAAATGAGGTTTCCATTGAGTAGATGTTTTTAATTCTCTCTGTCATCATATTTCAAGGGGAAAAGTTCATGAATGATAAGCCAAAGAGGTTTGCCAATTCTGACAACATATTTTTTTTTGTTTTATAGATGAAGTAGGAAAGGAATTATGCACTTACTTTGTT